CCCCCCCCCCCCCCCCCCGAGGTACATTAGAAAATAGCTTTTATCCAATTTGGTCAATCCGGAATGGATTAGTTAGACATTCTATCAGGGAGCCTATTCTTGACTCTTCTGTGTGGTATTTATTCTTGTTTGGCTCTTGGAATCACATCAAGCCTATTTAAATGATCATCTCGAATCTATTTTGAGTTTACAGAAGATAAAAAATAATTACACCTTAGGGTTATTTGTTTACTTGTCGTGGAGTATTTTCCCATTACGTCAACAAAATTATGCTCTTTTAACTTTTTCTCTATAACAGGCACATTATATGCTAGGACTTGCTTTGCTTCAGAAAAAGGAATTTGCTGTGGGTGTCAGAGAATTGGAAAAAGTATGCCTTGTGCTTCCTTCTCTCCCACTCTCCCAGTCTAATAAATACATTTAAGTGTCATGATATTGCATGTCGTTTCAAACACCCTTGTAGTTACTGTGTCTGGAACATTGCTGTTAAAGTTATTCTTGAATCCTTTTCCCACTTATTATCCGTCCGTCCCTCAAACAAATATGAACAAATACGCATTGCACTTTGCGAGGTAAATGAAGTTTTCTTTAAAAAAATTCAATTTATTCGAAAATTGGTATTGAAACAAAAGGTGAAACTTACATACTCCATTTAGAAACTACATAAAAAATCTTACAAAAAAGAGGGGACATTACTATGTTATTTAGTCAAATAGTCAATAAAAATACATAAGCAAACAAAAGTTATGACCCTAGAATAGTTACATGGATTTTGTTTTTTAGGATGGAAGGTTTACCTTTTAGATGCATTTCTTGAGTTGAGTGTTTACTTTATTGTCTGGAGATGGGGTTCAAGTTTATACCGAAACTATATCAATGTTTGTTCGTAGCAATATTTACTATACTGTCAAGTAACTTAAGTTTTCTATTCTGGTATGACCTGTGCAATGATAAACTATTATGTGAGTTGGAAATTTTACACCTTTTTTTTGCAGTCATTATTGGATTGTTGCGCTTCTCAAGAAAATAAGTTGAATATGTAGTTTTTGAGTTACTTATTTGGCACAAATAAAGTTAAAAGTGCTTTCCCTATTAGAAAAATCTGCAAATTAAGCCATTTGAATTCAACCAAATAACCCATACCAAATAGACCCCTAAAGTTATGTCATAGCATTAACCACACACACACACACACACACACACACACACACACACACACACACATATATATATAGGGGCCGGTTCCCGTGAGAATGCACCTTGTGGAGAGAAATGAGAATAAAATCTAGCCGTCGGATCTGATGCATCGTACGGCTCAGATTGCATCCTGCGCTCAGATTTTGAGATAGTGCATTTTCGAAGGTTTATGGTGCATTTCGACGTGATGCATTTTCGCACCATTTTGGTGCATCTAATTTTGATGAAATCTTGACCCTTAGATCTCACAATCTAAAGCACTAGATTCATTCTCATTTCTCTCCTAAGATTGCATTCTCACCAGAACCAAAATCTATATATATATATATATATATNTTCCCGTGAGAATGCACCTTGTGGAGAGAAATGAGAATAAAATCTAGCCGTCGGATCTGATGCATCGTACGGCTCAGATTGCATCCTGCGCTCAGATTTTGAGATAGTGCATTTTCGAAGGTTTATGGTGCATTTCGACGTGATGCATTTTCGCACCATTTTGGTGCATCTAATTTTGATGAAATCTTGACCCTTAGATCTCACAATCTAAAGCACTAGATTCATTCTCATTTCTCTCCTAAGATTGCATTCTCACCAGAACCAAAATCTATATATATATATATATATATGGATGAGCTATATGAACATAATTTTTGGTGATTCCTGTTTTCCTAGCTAATACGGTTGGAGTTCCTCTGGCATGGAACCGATTTAACATAATTTCATTCTTGAGTATGCTGTTAGACCTTAAAAAAACTGAAAACTTAAAAGCAGAAAAGGCATGGAAGTTACTTAAAACCAAGACATATTATTATAAATAGAGAAATTCATGTAACCTTGGACAATGCAACTTTCGATGCTGAGCCGGGGGTCTCTTTGGAAACAGTCTCTCTACTTTTGAGTAGGGGTAAGGTCTGCGTACACATACCCTCCCCGGACCCTATTCTTGTGAAATTCAACTCGGTTGTTGTCATGTTACCTTGGGAAGGTTGCTTGGGACTTGAGTGCATAATTGGTCTATGCATCGTTTATTTCTAGGCATGCGATTCTAGAGCCTGTTTGGGATTATTTATGGAACATGATTTTACCAATTTAAGCATTAAAATGCTTCTTTCTGGAATAAAAATTCTTTTTTTTCCTTCAAAAAGCACTTCTTCCTTGAAATGCAGTAGAGTCCCAAATACCCATGTACATTTTAGCAAACAAAACGTGCGGACAGAGAATTAATAACATGGCTGTTTACTCTAGAAAAGTGATGAAAAATGGTCACTTGATAGCACAGGGAAGGTGAGGAAAGAAGGGTCATCTTCATTTGGACATTTAATATCTCTCTCGGAAAAACTCGAGGCCTTAAATTTAGTCTTTGAAAAAGCTGCAGAAGATGATACACCAACTGAGGTGATTAATTCAGTTGACTATATTCATTTTTGGCTCTTCCCTTTTTTACTCATGCGGCGCATAACATTGGCAGAGGATTTGCAGATTCCTGATTACTTGTGCTGTAACATAACATTAGAGATTTTCCGTGACCCTGTCATTACACCCAGTGGGTTTACCTACGAGAGGGCAGTTATCCTTAATCATTTGCAGAAGGTAAAATCGTTAATCATCATCACTCTGGGTTTTTGCTGAATATCCTTGATCATTTCCACCTTTTTTTTGTGACAAGTCAGGTGGGAAACTTTGACCCAATCACTAGAGATCCAGTGAACACATGCCAGCTGGTTCCCAATCTGGCTATCAAAGAAGCAGTTCGCGCATATTTGGCCAAGCATAGGTGGGCCTACAAGGCGGAGTAAAGAGCTAAGGTCACCGGGCCCACACCATCCCGCTCACGTAAGGTGCCTCTACCTTCTCTTAGTGCAGTTCACTTGTAACATCGGTTTATGGTCTTGATCAAACTGTGTACATTATTATGGACCATGTGTGCATATGTGTGCACAGCAAGGAACCTATTCTTATGTCTCCTACCCACCTACTCGGGGACCAGCTTAGAACTAGAGATATCTGTTCTGCTTGTAGGGAGTGTTTGTGTTATGTGTCTGTTTATATATATAGTACTAGAGAAGACTATCTAAGGGCTATAAGTGATACCATCAATGCCAGCCATTATGGGCACATTTTAGCTATAGACCTTATTGTTCCAACTTTCCATCACTAGAGATTGGGCGGGTTTTCCCACAGAAATGTGAGTTAGAAACTGTTCTAGGGAGAAAGACTGGAAATGGAACCTGGCCACAAACTCTTCCCCTTCTAAAATAAGCATTACACTTTCTTTCAAGTTTATCCTTTTTTAACTTTAGGTTCTAGTCTATGTTATCAGAACCGAACCGGTCTGTTTGGTTGTACTGGGAACCAGTATGCTTGCAGATAGGGTCATCCCCAAAAACCAATCAAGAAATTGCCCTGTTAAAAACCGGGCCAATCGGAAATTTTCTAGGTCGAACCGGTCCAATAGGAAATTTTGTATTGCTTATTTATTTCTAGGTAAAAAATTCTAAGAGTATTTTGAATTTTGTGCATCCTTATCATTCTGAGTTTATGTCACGGAGTATATTAGTTTATCAGGAAAAATGTTACGAACAAACCTAATCTTATTATAAACATTAGTAAAAAATCTTAATGAGAGTATACATTTTAAATAGAGAGCACTTATTCTTAGAATAAAATTTATTTACAACAATTTAATTGGGACGCCCCATTTGAAAAATTGGTGGTTCTCTCTTACTCCCTAAAAATTGATGGTTCTTCTTTAATTAGGGCAATAACCGCGATATATATGGTAATGTTATTTCTTGTACGTCCACGACAAGTACTCATTTTCGAGTAATTGAATATTTATTTTGAATATTTCTTTGTTTTATTTGTACATACATCTTTATTGTATTAATCGTAAATGTATATTCTGCATAAATGCATTGAGTATTATGTACTTTTCAAATAAACATACATATACTTTGTAATGTACATGTTTTGAATATATACTGAAATAATTAAGTATCATAAATGAATATCCTGTTATTCGAAAATGAGTATGTATGCATTATTGTTCTCATAATATGACACCTCTTCTTGTTGTCAAAAGAAGGGGCCCGATAATAATAATAACAACAATAATAAGAATATAAGTAGTAATTTATTTGTCATAGTTCAACTTTTAGATTTACTTTAACCACAAATTATATAGTTTTAGATAAATAAAAGTTATAATAAATTGATATTAGTTATATCTTTAAATGAATTTAATTATATTGTATTTTTATGATAATTATATATTTTTTTCATAGTTTATGATTAAGATTTGTCTAAAAGTCAAACTAGAACAAATAAATTGGGATGAAGGGAGCGTTTTTTTAATTCAAAGGGGATATTTTTAAGACAAAATCATATCAAGAAATTGGATGGCATCGTTTGGTTTCTGGCACTTGAGCTTTGCACTGTTGCCGGCTAGCGTAGTTTTGAGGACTCCAACTTTTGATGTCCAATGTTAAGCATTTGACCAATGTAACAATAATAGTAGCAAAACAAAGAGAATGGGTGACCAATATTAGCTGTATTTTTGTTTTATTGTCTTCAAAAGCCGCAGTAACTTTGTCTACTACTTTGAGTGACCTGATGGACTATATATAATTATATATATATATATATATATATATGTATGTGGGGGTGATTATTGGATAGAATTATGCTCTCATATGGAGAGGTATTCATGTACGTGTTGTGCTTTGTACCCTGCAGCCTAACCACATGGTAGACCCCCATTTTTTGTTGCCTCAAAATGAAGGAAATTAAATTTGTTAATATTACCTTTGTGATCTTAATGCATGCACCCAAAACAATGCAATTTCACAATGCCAATTTTATTTTGTCTGGGAGTTTTGTATGTCACTAAAGACCTTGTGGTGGGTGAAGTGACATAACTCTGGTTTCCCAAATGGCTACAAGTTCGGATACTAGTCGAGTGTTGACTCTAATCCGATCTATTACAAACGTCTTATGTAAATTGAAGATATATCTATGAACAACTATATTGTCAACGAATGTAGCGAAAACTACTCCACAAAGTCATGTTAAATGCTCATTGATGCGTACAACGTATCGGATAGTGAGGAATTTCGAGTGTCTTTGGACTCCGGACGATAGTGACACTAATCTTAATCCTAATGGAACTAGATTATCTATTCTGACGAATCAAGAACAGTGACGAGGTAAATAACTATAAGGAAACTTTTGAAATGCCTAATACTCCGTAATATGTTGCCCTAAAAAAACTACAATATATTAAATAAAACATTAGATAACATAATCTTTGTGTCCACCCCAGTTGCCACCTTCTCAGCCACTCCTGCGCGCTCGAGGTTTCCTGTGCTCCTTGTCGTCAGGGGGGGGCTCAGCCCCGTTGATACCACCGCCCGTATCACTCACTCAGGTTCAATTTCCAACGGAAGCATGAATTCACTATGCATTATTAAATTGAGAAGATATGAATGTGTAGAGTATACTGCAATAGTAATAGTTATCACCAGTAAAAAAAGGATGATTCAATCATTGTCTCTCTATGGTGAATAAAAGAAGATGAATCTCATGATAGTGTTTTGTACATGAGGCCCAACTCTCTCAAAAGAGGGATTTGGTCATATTTTTCTTATGGCATTGGAGATGTAGATGAAACAAGATTGAGAGAGGAAGAAAGTGGAGAAGGAGACAAGTTCACAATAATGAAGATAGATGGGAATCTTATTGTTTTATCCTTTCAATTTTTTAAATACTCGTAGAGTAGTTTAATTTGCTTTTATTATTTAAAAGAAAAAAAATTATTCTCTTGGCACAGTACACAAGTATGGAACACAATATGGGTCAAATCAACTAACCCCACTCAAAGTAGGGCGTGTTTGGGAATAACCTTAGAGATTAGCGTTAGCGTTTTGGATAAAATTTTAACGGTGCAGATCACTTTGAAAACGCTAACGCTAAACGCTGCCCGTAGATAGCCTTTTCAAAACACTAACGCTAATGGCTAACGATATTCCCAAACAGACTCGTAATCTTTGATTTGAAGTATAAAAGTGAAATAATGAGGTGCGGCATTGATTGTTTTCTATCCACTTTCTCCAATTTTGTCGGATTAATGCCAAGTTATTGCGGAGTAAGATTTACTTCTTCCGTCCAAAATTATAATGTCTGTTCACTATTCACAGAGTCAAACTTCATTCACTTTCTTTCTCTATTTTCGTTAGCAATTTGATAAAATAAAATATTGTTGTCACTACTAGTTTTGTAGATCTTTTGATGTAGTATTTTGGTATATAATTTTTATTTTTTAACTCTATACCATTTGTCATATAAAATGATTTGAAAATAACTTCAGTCAAACATCGTAAACTGAAACAGGCGTTATAAAATGGGACGGAGGGAGTACTTCTAGCTATTCACTAGATTGTTACCTCCAAAATAGTGCCGGTGGGCGTTGTGCAGTTAGCAAGGCAAGAGGTGTCAAGGAGATAAGATTCGAGTTTGATTCATAGCAATTGTCTTATGAAGCAATTATGTTAAACATAGGGCTTCTGCATGTACTAGGTGCATGCTCCACTTTTTTGTCACCAAGCTTTGATTAAAGTCCAATTTGCATCCTCTCGGTGACCGTCCGTCCAGATCTGAGGGGGGCCTCGGGGATGAGGCTCATCCTTTTTTTTACATCAAATAACTAACTAAAACGTTCTTTTGAGTTACTATTCATACGGTTAAACTTTAATCAATTTCTTTATTTATTTAGTTAGTTATTTGATAAAATAATATAGTTTTGTCACCTCTTGTTTTTTAGAGCTTTTGATGTACTTTTTAAATATATAAATTTTATTTTTAAATTGTAAAGTTACAATCAAATAAATTAGAGTGAAAATTAAATCAATCAAATCCCGTCAACAGTAACGAGAATGAGGCAGGGAGTCTATCATTATTAATACAAGAAAATATATATACTTCTCTCTTTATGATGACTCGAACATATAACGTTTTTTAAAGAATGTCAAAATTGTTGGGTTGCAATTTTTACTGCATAATACTTCGTATGCAATTTCTTTGTGAATGTTTTTATGTGATTTTATTTATATGGAGTTATTCTTTTTCTTTTCTTTTTTTTCTTCACCGACTATTAGTCACTTACAAACATTTGATATGATAATAATTATATCACTTTCATCTTCACTTATAGTCTTTCGTACAAATTCCTATGTCGATTTTCCACCACAGTTTCATTCCTCCATTATTGCAAAAGAAACCAATCAAACAATCCCCACCTCTTTTTTATTCTTCTTTTGTAATTTAAATTTTAAATTAGATTAATTCTCCCCACACTTTTAGCTTGTGCGGACATGCTTTTGCTCTGACAAGGATGTTTTTTTACTTGCATTTTAAAAAGTTTATTATTTCAACTTTATTGTGTTATAACTATACTCTTTTTTTGTTGTAAAAATATACTCCTTTTTTTTTTTAATTTCAGCGATATACTACCTCCGTCCTAAAACTTTCTTCTTGGTTCGCAAAACGAAGAAAAATCCCAACTTTTTTTAATCTATTTTATTTAAATATTGGTATAGAAATAAAAAATAAAAGATACATATTTAAAAACTACATCAAAAGTTCAACAAAACAAGTGGTGACAAGAATATTTTATTTTATCATATAGGCCATTAAAATATACAAATAAATATAAATTCCCGTGAATTTGGAATAGTGCACTGGGAAGAAAGTTTTAGGACGGAGGGAGTATATACTAAGACGTGAGAAAACTAAATTTTTATTATTTTGGTTGGAAAAATGAGGAAAAATCATTTTTTTTCTTTTTTTCCTAATTCATTAAACCGAATATACTTTATATATAGTTATATATTTATACTCCACCCGTCCCAGAATTTCTTGTTTGCTTTTTCAAGCTCTCCAATGCACCAGTTTGATCTCTATTTACATACGGAGTATAATTTTAAATAACAGAATATGACAGTTTGATACTTTATTTTAAAATGCATATATTGATATTAAATTTATATCATAACTTAATTTTTTTTATTATATGGTCAAAGTTAGAAATATTTGACCAAGAAAAAATCAACAAGAAGATAATTTTAAGATGCACCGAGTACTTTTTCCATAATTGGCCTTACTTTTTCTTCATTCATTTGTAGATGATAGTAAATTCTTTTTAGCCGATTGTGGTGGGGTTTTTCTTTTTCAATTCATTGTGTGAAGGACTCTATCAATAACGCAACACATGTCTCATTCTTCGTGGATGGGTTCACCCCCGCCCCCCCACCCTCCCTTCCGAATATTGTCTGGGTATTCGTTTAATTTTGATTTTTTTAATGTAAAACTGATAAATTTTGATTTTGAATTAAATTAAAATAATATTAGATATTGATATAAAATTAATTTTATTAAATTTATTATATGAAAGTATTCTAAAACAGGCAGAGTAGAGTGGGTGATGGACCTAGGAGTGAGGAAAAAACCAAACCTAAAATGCTCCATAATCAGAGCCGTCCTACCATGTGGACCTTATATTTACATTATTTTTTGTGTAAAGCCAAAATAATGTGCCTGTCACTGTGACTTTAGCCACACAATTAAAATTTTATAATATTACAAACCCCAAAACAAAGGGAAGTAAACACTTTGCTTGGAGATGAGCAAAAGAATCCCCATTTGCACCTTTAATTCATGTTCTTACCACAATTCACCAACTCAAAGAAAACTCCTGTTTGGCAAGAGGGTTATTTGGTTGAATTGGGGGCTGAAGCTTTCAAAAGGAGTCATTCATTTTAGCTAAATAAGCAATCTAATCAAAAACTAGTTCTAGCTGTCTGCCAAACGGAGCCTAATAACAAACACATACCAGAGCAAAGGGTATTATAGAAATGGAGCATCAATTACACACACATAACTAGAGCATATCATGATGAACTGAACTCAAGTTTTTTTAGAATATACACAAACTAATAATGTCTGGTCCCAGAAGGCTGACAATAGAATCCCAGAGATGACACCAAAGTTGACATCATCACACACATACTGTAAGTATTAAACCTGGTGTCATGCTTGGTGTGATCTTAACATGACCCGTACTGTAAAAGTCGAAGAAGAAGGCGAAGGATTTACAGTCTTTTCAGAGGGGACAAAAAAGATTTTGACGACTTCTTCTTCGACTTATGCAGTATGGATGAGATTGAAAGATCTATTAAGTCTCTCAAGAATGCTGCTCGCCTTCCTCTTTGCCCTCGAAGTCCCATTCTGAGCGAGCTGAGAGATGGTGCGATGCGTGTTCTCCTCTTCCCTTATCGCCCTCAGCTTCGTCCGGTCCGTGAAACAGATCATGTACAGGATTGCGACACAGTTCTCCTTGTTTCGGGCACACGAATTCTCCCTCATCAGTCGAAGCAGGCAAGGGACCGCCCCCATCTCCCCCATTTCCTCGACCGCCCTTTGATTGGTCGAAAGCATTGCGAGAATGGACAAGAGTTCGTCGACGTGGACCCCGTCCTCTATCTTCTTCAACAAGACGCCGACGGCCCCGTCCCTAACCGCCCTCACCTTGTTCTCATGGAGGATGCATAGGTTGAAGATGGCCGAGGCCACGTCCCTTATTGCCAAGGGGTGCCCTTCGTCCAAGAGGTCGATGAGGGGTTTTAGGGCACCGGATTTCCCAATGAGTGATTTGTTTGAGTCGAGAGCGGATAACGTGAAAAGGGTAGCCGCGGAATTACTCCTCGTTTCCATCGTCCCCGACCTCAAGGCGGTCATGAGGAGGGGGATGACCTTGGGGGTTTCGGCGACGAGCTTTTTGTTGTTGTCGTGGATGGAGAGGTTCAGGAGGGTGGTGATCAAGTCCTCTTGGAGGTCCGGGTTGACGTCCTTCTCGGACTTGATCCGGGACAACGGGCCCAAGAGTTGCGGGACCGCATCCGCGGATTGCCCGAACAAGGCCCGGAACGAGGGCATTCGCTTCGTCAGCATGCGCAATTCCCTCGCGGCGCCCTTTTGGTCCGGGAGAGTGGAGGACATTTTGTCAAGCAAGGAGAGGAAGCGGTCCCGGTCGGCTTCGGTGAGGGCGTCGTCCGAGGGTGCTTCGACCGGGTCGGGCAACCGGATGCCGTTGTCCTTGCACCATTGGGTGATCAAACCTTGAACCAGGTGATTGGGTGTGAGAATGGTATGGGTGAGGACTTGTTGGGTCCGGGGACATGTTCTGTTCCCAGCGTTTAACCATTTCTGGATGAATGGCCTGTCATAAGTCTGCAATTATATGTATATATTGTGGGACAGATCTTAGTGACACAAAAAAATGGACCTTCATATTAAATTTACATGCAAATTCAATGTATTTTTACCTAATATTCGGTCAAAAGTTTAAAAGATTTAAGCATAAAATTCAAATAATTCAGTTTAGATTAAAATGAAAACGTTTACAAATACGTAGTAATTCAGTTTCGACAATTTTTACATTCGTAAGGAAAATGAAACAAAAAATTACACAAAGCTAAGGAACTGTTTGGTTGTTTTACTGGGTAATATTCAATAGAAAAAAAGTGCAATCGGAAAACGGAGAAAGGAAGTGAGGAACTGACCTGACCGGTGGAGAGAATGACAGGATCTCTCATGAGTTCATTGGAAAGCGGGCACCGGAATTCGTCCGGCGGCGGAGAGAAACTGTTCGGAGGTTCTCTGAAAGAGGAGCGGTGGTGGTGTTTCGTTCTGAGATCCCTCAAGGCGGCAAGCGCTTGATGGGCTCTGTCAATGGCTTCGGCATTGGAATCGTCCTCGCCGCCGACAATCGCCATCACCGCCCTCTGCAACTCCTTCTTCAGCTCCGCCGCTCTCGCCGCCGCCGACGACGAATCAGAGCCGTCCACAACCCCGGTCTTGGCCATCCCTCCGGGAATTCGAATTTTCCCCCGGCGCTCAAAATGGGGTTTCTCCTTTGCCGAGTCCCCGGCGGAGGAGGTTCCGATTCCGAACCCAATGGCCGGTCTTCGATTTCACCATGTCGGTTCAATCCAGTGAACTCACCGGCTGTGAGTGAGTGATTGAATCTGAATCGGGATTTGGATGAGAGAATTGAGGCGAAGAAGATGAATGTGTGGTTTGGGAGGAGAAGGGCAATTTGGGAATATCGGCGGGCGGGAGACCGGACAGCTGGCGGCTACGCGGAAGTAAAGGCCTTACAGAGGACTCGTCATCTCCCTCTCCCTATATACTTTCATTCGCATTTATGCGCTTGTTTGCTGTTTCTTATAGCGTACTTTTCAAAATGAAAATACTCCGTGACATTTTGTTTTATATACACTTCTCTCAATAATGTTTCATAATTGACTCAGGGGTATAGTAAAAATAAAATTATATGATTAAACATGAAACAAAAAAAAAAGTGAATTTTTTTGAATTAAAAGTTCATTTAATTATATGGTGGGATTGCAAGAAAGATGTTACCATTATTATCCGTGTAATTTTCAAAGGAATACAGAGTATTTCATTTTAAATAATGTGTTTTTTGACGGAAGAAAGAGTATTATATCCTTAATTCATTTAAGGATAGAGAGAGTGTTTTTTTAAGATTGAATTCTTCATTAATTTAAGGAGAATATGAAATGCTCCGAGTGTTGACACGATTCCAATGTAGTATACGTTCATACTTTTTTCTTATCGAAATTCTAAATTTTTATCCCTATCACTCTAGGCTATATGGTATGAGGCGTGAGGATGGAGTGGTGATCTTCATTCATGCCCGATCACCCCCCCCCCCCATGGCACACCTGATGTGACTGTGGCGGGACCTCCAAGGAGTGAGCGTGGTCACGGCTCCCCACCCTTTTTTTATACGAGTATATTTTTTTAAACATTAATCCAATTAAAATTTAACACATACTCCCTCCGTCTTACTATATTTGTTCACTTTCATTTTTTCACACCATCCAATGCACTTCTTTAATCCATTTTATCTTATAATTTATATATTAAAAAATTATAGAAATTGATATCCATCATTAATTTCCATCATCTCCGATGGAGCCAAAATTTCACCTGTTTTTGGCTTTGGGGTGTGATGGAATAAATCAAAATGGATATCTAAACTATTTGCGCTTCTTTAATTAATGAAGTAGCAGTTAGTCAAGCTATGCAACTTTCGACGTTGAGCCGGGGGTCTCTTTGGAAACAGCCTCTCTACTTTCGAGTAGGGGCAAGGTCTGCGTACACACACCCTCCCCAGACCCTACTCTTGTGGGATTTAACTGGGTTGTTGTTGTTGTATAGAAATTATATATTAATAATCTATATGTTAAGACAAATCAAATAAGATTACACATGACTATATTTAGGCTTACACATTGTGAGAATTTGATGAGTCAAAGTGCTTAGATGAACAGTTCTAAAAGTTAAAAGTAGACAAATATAGCGGGACGGAGGTAGTACATTTTTTCTTCAATCAATCAAAATAATTCATTTTTTACCCTTAATCACACCCAGTCACCCACAATACTACACACATTTTACTCATTTCATATCATCCTATTTTATATTTCATGGTACATTCATACCTGATCACCTGGACATACACACCTAAAATGCTGATCATCTTTTCTCTTCCTCTCTGATCTCTCCTTTCTCAAATTTCGTGGCTTATTTTGCAGATTTGGGAGATTTCTCTTTTCTTTTGCAATTGCAATTCCCATATGGAGATTTCCGATTTCCATATATGCAATTTCACTACTTCTTTTCGCTGATCGATTGGCTTGTCGTGTTATTCTGCAGTTAGGGATGCCTAGCCGAACACTAAAATATTTAAATTCGAACCGAAATTTTAAAAATATGAGACCGACCCGAAAAACTCAAACTTGAACCCGACACTAGTTGGCCGTTCGAGTTCGAGATTTACCTGATCCGAACCCGATTAATTAAAACTAAAAACCCTATGTATGCCTCTATAGAGTAGTGCATATTATTTAATATACCCTATATATTACTCGGGTATTTTCTAACATGATACCGAAGCAACTGACACTAGCCAAACAAATTGCTTGACTGCCGCACGAAGGATTTCCGACGATAAGGAATGAGTGTCTTCTCCAAAACGGAAAACTACGACAAACAATTTGCGGTCTCTAGGTAGGGATGTCAAGTCCGTTGGTCTTAGGGTCGAATTCTAGTAGCGGTAGTGTGGAAGTTCTATTATTTGTAATAGTTCTTTGTGCGCATCTTGTACGTGGCAAACTACCTAGAGACCAGAATAAGATTATACTATAATTTACCCCTTCACAATTCTGTCAGGCCGGAGTGTGAGGGCGCACGAGGTGAGCATTTCACCTTTTTTTCCCCCTATATTATGATATAATGACGTATGTACATGGGACATGTAAAAGGCCAAAAAGGGGAAAAATGGTAAAGCCTAATTTCAAGGCGGGTTATGGGAGGAGTTTGTATGGGAAATTAAGGAAGGTGGACGGTGGCCATTATTACCGTTATGAGCAGCTTGCTTCCTTAATCACGTTTCCTCCTACCCTTGCAAAGATACCATCATTTTCGGCATACTGTAGTTTTTATTATCCAGCAATATAAATTTAATACGAAGTATTAATATATTTATATTGAAACGTATTTTTCAAATATTAAATTTTTATAAAATATATTTATGTTTAAATATAGATATTAATGGTCAAAGTTTAATATTGGAGACCGTGAAAAGTTAAATGAGAAGAATATTTTCAAACGGGGGAGTAACTTATGCTTCAATTCACAAATTTTTAGCTAAAAACACAACAGACAATTTGGAAAAGAGTGTAAAATAATCCATACCCACACAACTTCTTGTACTGAGCCTGCGGTGGCGGAGCCTCGAGGGGACACCATGCAAGAATACGAGGATGCGGGGGCAATGTCGTCAGATTTCTTTTTTAATTTAAAAGACAATATAATGTGATGAAAGACATTCAAATAATAAAAATTATGACCCCATTTGGCATCGACGTTAGAGGTTAGCGTTTTGAAAATACTATCCAACGATAACCTTTCACGTTAACATTTTCAGGATTAAACTATATCATCCAAAACGTAATGAAAAACGTCGTTTCCGAATAAGGCGTATGTGAATACTCTTAGAAATTTGTTGGTTTGGAGAAAATGGTCTTATTGTATTGTTGTTCAATTCATGCATTTGAATTCCAAAATTTGAAATCTTGAATTTCAAATGACAAGGGGTGGTGTATGGATTTCAAATTAAGTTTTGTTATGAATGAGAAGAATTTGACTCAAATCCAAATTTAAAATTTTTAAGTTTCCCAAACATGGAATTTGAGCCAAATCCGGATTTGAAATCCAAATTCATGTTCCCAAATATACCATAAATGAAATTTGTGAGTAGGAGAAAATGAGATAGTTGGGCCTCAATGTCACTTTTGAAGAGTGTGTAGTGCCATCATGGTGGCCCAATACCATTTACTTTTGATAGAGTTCTATGTCGATCCAAATACTAAGGCCCACGAAGTAATTAAGCGCTATATGATGATGACTTCGGCCCGCCTTTCTCTATCAAAACCCAACCCAATCCAAACATTTGAAAATGTCAAAAAAAGAAAAAAAAACAAACTCAAACAACAACAAGCGTCCAGCAACAACACTTGACACTCATTTGGAAAAGGCAAGCCTTTTTTTTATTTCTTTCTTTTCAAATCTTTTTTTAAAAAAAGGCTAGCATTCTAGCAACTTAAGCATATCTTTGAACTTTCAAAAAATGAGATTTTCTTTTTTTAAATCCCTTTTTTTGTTTTGTCAAAAGTGATTTCTTTTTTTGTCAAAATTTTTACCTCTTCTCACGCTTCGGTGTTCCCCATCACCTACCTGCTACGCTCATCAAAGCTTTGCTACTCTTTATATGTTGTTGAAGTGGTAAATGGTAAAACTATTTCTAATTCATTAAGCCACACTCCCTAGCTTGTTACCCTTCTTGTATAAACAACATTGTAATGGGTAATTTTGTCACTCTCTTTTTTATCTTCCCTCTATTGGCTCTGCCTTCCTTCTCCGGTAAGTTCTTTTTGCATTCCACATTTACTCTTTACTATTTACCTGAAGGTGTAGCCCAGCTGGTCAAAAGGATAATGCCGTAGGGGCAAACTTGAGTTCAATTCTCGACCATCTATGTTATGTATGAAATTCTCTCACGGTCTATGGATAACTCTCTACTTTATCTCGACAAAACTCTAATTTTTTTTACCTCCTTCTAACTTATTGTCTCGGTCGAATTTGTGGGGAATTGGGGATTTGGGTAAAACCTTTTTCTTCTCTATGTACCAAATTCTTGTTTCTATTTTCCTCCCCAACTATCACAATTTAATGGGTCCCTTTTATAGAAAGTATGGAAAGCAAATGCACAAATGAATTCAGACATATCACAATATAACTCTATTTTTTGAGATTATCATGACAAGTTTAAACTTTTGATTGAGTTTGTGACCGTATCAATGTTTGGCAGGGGAAGACATGTCGGGTGACGTGGGAGTATGCTACGGGCAGCTGGGCAACAACCTCTTGAACCCGACCCAATCCATAGATCTCATCCGCCACAAACTCCACGCGAAACGGGTCAAGTTATACGACGCCAATCCAGCCATCCTTGACGCGTTACGAAACACCAACATCCAGGTTTCGGTCATGGTCCCGAACGAGCTCATACCCGCCATCTCCACCCACCAATCCGAAGCCGACAAGTGGGTCCAGACCCACGTGGTCCCCTACTACAACGAGACAATGATCCGTTACCTACTCGTAGGGAACGAGGTCCTCAGCAACAAACCCGACTCCACGTGGACCCGCCTCGTTCCCGCCATGCACAAAATCCGGCGGTCCGTTAAGAGTTTCAAACTGAATAAGATCAAAGTGGGGACGCCGTTGGCCATGGACATGTTGGAGTCGTCTTTTCCGCCTTCCAATGGGACCTTCCGTGGGGACCTCGTTGACGCCGTTATCAAACCGTTATTAGACTTCCTGAGAAAGTCAAGGTCTTTCTTCTTTATCGACGTGTACACTTATTTCGCTTGGAAGGGTCAACCGGACGGAACCATCCCGCTGGACCGGGCTCTGTTACAGCCCACGAACCGTGAGCCGTACGTGGATCCGGATTCGGGTCTGAAGTATACCCATTTGCTGGACCAGATGATAGACGCCGTTTTTTCGGCGATGAAGAGAGCCGGGTACCCGGACGTCCGGATCTTCGTCGCGGAAACGGGTTGGCCCAGTTCGGGCGGACCCGGCGCGACAATTTGCAACGCCGCCGTTTACAACCGGAACGCGGTGAAGAAGTTCGCCGGGAAGGCGGGGACGCCGGCGAGACCGGGGGTTTTGATACCCGCGTTCGTATTCGCTCTGTACAACGAGAACCATAAACCGGGCGAGGAGACGGAGAGGAATTTCGGGCTGTTTTACCCGACCGGGTCGAGCGTGTACGACATCGACCTGTCCGGGAAAACGGAGTACACGGCGCCGCTAGAGGCCGAGACGTGCGGCGGGGGGAAGCGGTGGTGCGTGGTGGCGAACGGCGCCGACCCTGCGGCGGTGGCCGGTGCTCTGAGTTACGCTTGCGGGCAGGGTGATGGGATCTGCGGCCCGATCCAAAAGGGCAGAGAGTGTTACAAGGCGGAGGATCTGAATCATGACGCGAACTACGCATTCAGTTCGTACTGGGCACAGTTCCGGAGCTCAAATGGGACCTGTGACTTCAATGGCGTCGCTGTTGTCACCGCCACCGATCCAAGTAATTAAAGTGCTTATCAAGATTATCGAATTTTTAAATCATTTTTTTTGGATCAAATTGTTTACAAAATTATCTTTAATAATTTTGATAATGAATGGCAGGTTATGATAAATGCATGTTTCCAAGTGTTGAAATTTGAAGATCAAAAGACCCATTACACGAAAACACCAACAAAGTTACACAGAGTAAGCTTGTGATCCATTTTCTTCTTCATCTTCAGACTGGAGAAAGAAGCATACATATGCATAATCCAACGCTGGCTCTTTTTCTAACTTTCTTGAAATTAATTACAGTGATTATTATTCGTATATTAATTAGTGGTTATTGTTTAGTTCTACGCCATTTTAGCATGACTCATTGCCTTGGTTTTGTTATGCCTATGTACTATATATAACGTCACGTTACGTTGAATATAATTGTGTTTTAATAAGGTAGAATATAACGCGTAGTATATATGAATCATAATTTAAAAAAAATGTCAAAATAACATACTTTTAAAGCGTGTTTTTTTTTCCAAAAGGGAAATGTTTTTTGAGATTGAGGAACTTGTTGAATAGAATTTAGTCTTAGTTTAATGTTTAACCAATTCCTATGTAACTATGTAAGGGCTGAGATTATTGAATTATGTAAGTGCTAAGATTTTTGAGTTTGTTTTACGTAGTATTCCCTCTATCTTAAAATGATCTTCTCACTCACTATTCACATGGTCAAATTTTAAAATAATCTTTTCACTCATTGTTGAGTTCGTTTTCACTAGTTATTCGAAAAAATAATATAGTTATCTCAACTCTTGTATTTTAGTACTTTTGATGTAGTTTTAAATATATAATTTTTATTTTTTAATTTTAAATCTATAATCAAATAAATTGAATTGAAAATAATTTCAGTCAAACCTTGTAAACCAAACTTGAAAGTTCATTTTAGGACGGAGAAATTATTTATCATGCACGTGAATATGTGATTAGATTATTAGAATAAGGTTCATTCCTTTGTGTAGCTAGAACTCTTGTTATTTTGTCTATAATTGAGAATATGGAGAAATATCAAAATAAGATCAAAACATGCACAATATAGTTAAATAAAACTAAAACATAGAAAATATACATAAATAGGAGTTCAAAACATAAATTCTCTTTGCATCGGCATCCCCAAAATACCCTTTGACATCTGTGCCGTGCACCCACATTTTTTCTTTATCAATCACGCTACATACCCACAAAACGACAAGTAATTAGACCACATGCCCACATGTCACAAAACTAAATTTTCACACAACTGAACCCACGTGTCCACATGAAAGCGGGGAGGGCAGAATCGGCAGAGGAAGAAAGAAGGTCACGGGAGGAGTCTATTTGAGTAATAAAAAACTTAAACTCTCCTCTTAAGAATTAACACAATGTTTTTGTTTTATTAGAGGTGATTTCTATCATTTTATTTAAAAGTGAAAATGTTTTTTGTTGAGAAAGTAAAAAAACAAAAAAGAAATATTTTTAGCACTGAGAATATAAGGAGTAATTCTTTAAAAAATAAATTTAGATGAATTACACAAAATAATTTCAATCAATAATAATAGTGGAGTGTGTATAGAAATCTAGATGAAGGAATCCATAGAATCGAATATATGCCCAAAACCGCAGCCCATTGTTTGCCTTGAAGAAGATGTGTAACGGATAACGTTTACTCGATAATTGTCATCATCATCATTCATCGTTATCCTCGTGCCCGTTCCCTTTCTCTCTTCCAATTCCTAAAGCCAATCGGATCATCAGTTCCCCCTTTTTTTCCAATTCACTTTGTTTTTTGCTGAATGGACTGTGGCCTCTTCGCGTGCACCGCCGCCTCCTCATCTCTCACGCCGCCGCCGCCCTTCCGATCGGGGTTTCCGAATTTCCCTCGCGGCGGATTGCGCAGGAGGCGGTTGATTGTGGCCGCCAGCGGCAGGGCGAGCAGCAGTCGCTGCGAGTTCAGTGGATTGAACGCGCCCCTGGAGCCCACCACCCCGTCGGGGAGGCTTCTGAGCACCGTTTTGCAGAACGATCGCGATTATTTTCCGGCTGCCGCGGCGGAGCAGCTGCAGCAACTCGCTTGTGACCGGGACCAGGCCGTTGCTAGGATGTCCTTAAGCTTCGACTCTGATGAAGCCGGCCTCCATAGGTATACACTATCTCTGTCCCAAAAATATAATTTCCAGAAAATATTTTACTCTCTTTGTTCCTGAAAAATTCTTCTTGTTTTGATTTTTTGTCAAACATACATTCTTTGATCACAACTTCAAAATCATTTTAATAAACACTCCGTAAATGTTATAAAAATTGATATGTCAAAACTATATTCTAAGTTGAACTCAATTATATTAAATTTGTATCATATTCATAGATCATTAAAGCTTGAATTTATAATTTCAGGAGAATCTCTGAATTGAGAGAGATGGAGTGCCAAGCCGGAGTTGAGGATGTGATGTACATGTTAATTCTACACAAGTTCTCAGAGATTAGGGTGCGTTTGGTTCCTCGTCTTTCCAAATGCGTCTACAATGGCAGGCTAGAAATATGGCCATCCAGAGACTGGCACCTGGAGTCAATCCATAGCTCGGAGGCGCTTGACCTGGTCAAACACCATCTTGCCTCCGTAATTGGATTGAGACCAGACGCGAGACTCCCAGACATTTGGGCCCCAAACCGGGCCCGCCTCCTCCACGTATCCCGAGTCTATGCCGCATCCATCTCCTACGGCTATTTCCTCAAGTCCGCTTCCCTGAGGCACTATCTTGAACAGAGCCTCACCCACTCACCTGGGCAGAAGAGACAACTTTGTTGGGCATCTGGCCAGGCGAGTGGTGGGGTACAGACCTCACTAATGCATGGGATGGAAACAACACTAAAGTCGTACGTGATGGGATTTGAACCAGAAACGCTACGATTGTTTGGGACACCGAAGTCAAAGGTTGCCCTAAAAGTGGCGGAGAGGCACACCGGTGCACTCTTCGGGGTTGATCTCGACGAGGAGGACGAAATTTCGACATCTATGGCTAGTCTTAAAAGAATTGTGCTTGAGGCCATTGCGTTTGGGTCTTTCCTATGGCACGCTGAAGAGTACACCAACAACATATATAATCTCCACTCCTAATAGCTTATTTTTAATTTGTAAATATGTAATTACAGTTATGCTTAATTATGTTCTTATTAGTACGAGTATTATTTTAAGTGTGTGTCGTGACCCCTTGCTCCCCCGGTCTCTAATGTACAGTGCTGTTTAATTACTCCACATTCTTAAATTTATTTTTATAAGATTGTGACAAGAGGTTTAATATACTATGATAATTATACTTACATTTTATTTTGGGCCGTTTATTTTAGCTGGATTTGGAGTTGTCCGATGAAAACCACTACACATTTAAGATTTTCTTCATATGGAAAGTTTTGAGTTTGAGTCACTTATCAATAAAAATGGGCTTACTACAACTTATTTATGAGTTCGAGAGTTAGATTATATTTTCGTAGAGATCCCTAGTATCGATGCTCTCAAAACTTTCAGCCTTAAGATCAAACAAGTAGGGGCAAGTCCAAGCAAGAGGCCTGGATTTCTAGTGGTGGGGCTGTAATACGGTTGGCCGGCTAATATAAAAGGGTCTGTTTGGCGACCGTGTCTTGGACTCTAAACGCCAAAGGCTATTTTGTTTATGTTTGTTTTCCATTGCGTTTCACGCAAAACGTCTTCTCCTAACTTAGCTTCTCAATAACTTAGTGCTACCTTCGTCCCAGAGTATTTGTCCACTTTCATTTTTACACACTATCCAATGCACTTCTTTAATCCATTTTATCTTGTAATTTGTATATTAAAAAATTATAGAAATTATATATTAATAATCTATATGTTAAGACAAATCAAACAAGATCACACATGACTATATTTAGGCTTACACATTGAGAGAAATTGTTGAGTCAAAGTGCTTAGATGAATAGTTCCAAAAGTCAAAACTGGACGAATACTCCGGAGAGAGTATTTGGTTTATTATTGCATAGAAAAAAAGTTGCATTTGTCAAAAAGAAAAAAAGTACGTATGGATTGGTCATGCCTCATGGATGATGTCAGCGTTACACAATCACCACAATACGGGTCTGGAGTACTAATACTTCCTTCCATCTTCTCTACACATACAGAGTATATATATACGGAGTATATACCTTTGCTTCCTCATTGAATTTTCATCGCATCAAATTATTAAACGCATGTTTGGGAATAGCTTTAGCGATTAGAGTTAGCGTTTTCAAAAGGCTATCTACGGGTAGCTTTTAGCGTTAGCGTTTTCAAATTAATCTGCACCGTTAAAATTTTATCCAAAACGCTGACGCTAATCGCTAACACTATTCCCAAACAGGCCCTAAATTACTCTGTATATTATGCGGAGTATTATATAATATATCCTCCAAATCCTTCTAAATAACTTATCATACACTAAATACAATATGCTTAAGGGTATGGCTACCGACGGCAAGCTCATGCACGCGGTGCAGTTCAACAGTTACGGCGGTGGCGCCGCCTCACTAAAGGTCTTTTTCATTCAATGATCTTTTTTTTCTTCTCTCCATTGTTACTATTTCTTTCATCCTCAGTTTTGTATATATATATGGTTGGATGCAGCATGTTGAAATTGGGGGTGCCAGTCCCTAAGAAAGGTGAGATATTAATCAAGCTGGAGGCAATGGGGTTAAATCCCATCGACTGGAAAATTCAATCCGGCATTGCCCGCCCCTTTTTGCCCCCCAAATTCCCTCATATTCCCGGTACACGTTACGCGTTCCTATATATATATATATATATATATATATATATATATATATATAGGGGCCGGTTCCAGTGAGAATGCACCTTGTGGAGAGAAATGAGAATAAAATCTAGCCGTTGGATCTGATGCATCGTGCGGCTCAGATTGCATCCTGCACTCAGATTTTCAGATAGTGCATTTTCGAAGGATTTTGATGCATTTTGACGTGATGCATTTTTAAACCATTTTGGTCCATCTAATTTTGATGCAATCCTGACCCTTAGATCTCACAATCTAAAGCACCAGATTCATTCTCATTTCTCTCCTAAAATCGCATTCTCACCAGAACCAAAATATATATATATATATATATATATATATATATGTATTGTATATATTAGACCGTTTATATATATACTCCGTAAAGGAAAATTTACTTAAATAGCACTAATCGTAGACCCATCGATCTTAGGTTCTGATATTACCGGGGAGGTAGTGCAAGTTGGTTCTGGCGTTCAACGATTCAAACTTGGTGACAAAGTCGTCGCCGTTCTCTCCAATCGTGTCCTTAATTTGATTTGATTCCAATACGAATAATTAAGTATATATATACGGATTATATATGTTGTCATTGTTAATAAATGATCAGGATGGAGGTGGATTGGCAGAGTATGCGGTCGCAAAGGAGACCATGGCGGCCACAAGGCCACCTGAAGTGTCGGCGGCGGAAGCCGCGGGCCTCCCCCTGGCTGCACTGACCGCTCACGAGATGTTGACCCGAGTCGCCGGGGTCAAACTCGACGGGAGCGGTCCCCGGAGCAACGTCCTCGTGACGGCCGCCTCCGGCGGCGTGGGCCACTACGCGGTCCAGCTCGCGAAGCTGGGGAACGCGCACGTCACGGCGACGTGCGGGGCCCGCAACGCGGAGCTCGTGAGGGGCCTGGGGGTGGACGAGGTGCTCGACTACAGGACGCCCGAGGGGGCGGCCCTCGCCAGCCCCTCGGGGAAGAAGTACGACGTGGTGGCCCACTGCGCGACGGGGATCCCGTGGTGCACTTTCGAGCGCCACCTAAGCAAGGACGGTAAGGTGGTCGACATCACCCCGAGCGTCGCCACCTTTGTGACGTCGGCGTGGAAGACGATCACGCTCTCGAAGAAGCGATTGGTGCCGATGTTTACCTCTCCGAATGGGGAGGGGTTGGAATACCTTGTGGGGCTGGTGAAGGAGGGGAAGCTAAGGGTAGTCATAGACTCAAACTATCCCTTGAGGAAGGCGGAGGACGCTTGGGGCAAAAGCATTGGGGGACATGCCACTGGGAAGATCGTTTTGGAGCCATAGCTCTTTAGATCTTTATTATTGATGTTGTGGTTTGATCATAGTAGCTATTATATGATTGTCTTACATTGTCTTTTCCTTATATAAGTTGTACTGTATTATTATTTTTTGTGTCATAATTTTATGTATTGTACAATTATATATTGCACTTATGAATTTGGAAAAAACATGCCTGGTGTATGTTATGAGGTGTGTTATGTTTGAACTATTGGCATGTCACAAATTATTTAACGGAGAACAAAATTGCGCTATTTAAATTAACAAAAGGTAAATAGCGCTTAGTGCTTAAACATAGACACTACTTGGATCCTGTATTCCGTCTTGATTTTTGAAATGATTTTATTTACAAATTATTAAAGAAATAAAAAAAATCTTAAATATTTAAAATTACATTTAAAACTTGAGAAAATAGGATGTGTGTCTGATTATTTTCTATTAAATAGTCAACGAAAATATGGAAAGTCACAAAATTCTACTTGTGTCTGATTTTATGGTATTTGTTTTTAAGAAAAATATAAACTGGGTCTGATTTTGTGAGTAGAATAATACATGTAGTGAATAAGTAAGATGTCAAGACTCACGACAACTAAATATAAAGTCAACTCTTTTAAATATAAAAAGAATTGGGATAGATAAATATTTAAAGTCAAAACAAAATTGGCGGGGTAAAATATTACTCCCTCCGTCCGATAAAAATCTTTCCATTTGGACTTTTTTTCATTTTTTTGAAGGGTTGACTATGTGTGTTATTTCCCTAAATTTCCCTCCCTCTCCTTTACCAGCTCTACCTTCACTCTGTTCCAACCATTGCCGCCCGCCACACCACGTCTCATTTCTCCTCACCATCGCCGCCACTCCACTATCGCAGGCAGTCTCACCATCGGCGCTAGCCCCACCTTCACCCCAGCCCCACCACCGTTGTGTAGATCTAAAAGAAGATGAAGAAGAAAAAGAGGAAGAAATGCAAATCTAGACTCACCATCACCATCGCAGTCACCGCCACAATCACCGCCGCCATCTCTGTCACAATCATCGCCGCCCTCGCTGTCACAATCGCCGCCATACTCAGATCTAGAAGAAGGGGGACAAAAATAAGAAGAAAAGCGGAGGGGGAGAAAGAAGAGAGGAGGAGATGGACGGGGGAAGAGGAAGAGACAATTCAAAGAGAAAGAAGAAAAAGAAGGAAAGAAAGAAATTGGGAAAAGAGAAAAGGGTGGGGGACGACGGGAGGGTGATCTGGGGACAGGAAGGGATCTAGGGAATTTGGGAGAGTAAATGAATTTGAATGACAAGGGTATTTTTGGGAGAATTGGGGTTAAAATTAGAAATGGAAAGATTATTTCTGACGGGGAAAAAAGAGAAATAGAAAGATTATTTTCGGACGGAGGGAAGGGAGTGTCCTACCTCCTATGTCATGATGCCAATATCCTTTTTCCAGTAAAAAGCTTGACGATGCGGGCATTGGTTGACTTTTTAGGTTCATTTTTAAATTAATTTGACAGATCTGAGAGTAGTGCTCGAACCTAACAATAAATTTGGAGAAGGGGGTGGGAGACAAATAAATGGGCAAGAATTTTAAAAAAAATTAAATAAATAAAAAGTAGATAAAAATGGGTGGTGGAGAAGGGGGTGGGAGACAAATGGGGTACACCAAAGGTGTATCCCTAGCATGGCTCATAAATTTGACAGAACATAAGTGATTTGTAATAGACACACATAAACACGCACAAATAGCTATTGTGCGTTTCTGTGAGAAATTTCGTGTCAAAATTTTGGTTTCTCAAAAACTTTTTTTTGAAACAATATTGGCCCGAGATTTTTGGGGGAAGAAAAGGATCTGAGAAAGAGTAATTCTTTTATTCTAAGTAATGGTCGTTGAACTTACTCTCGTAATTAAAGGGCTATGGGTGGGACGCAATTGAAGGGGTAGAACCGTAGAAAGGGTTTGGGTCCTGTTGAAATTGAGGTTCACCGATGGTTTGGGTAAAAAAACATCATTTTTTGGAACTAAATAAATTTTAAAACTTAAAAACTTACACATATTTGTTTGATTGTTTCAAGTGAAATTTGCACTAAATAAGACTAAAACATAATGACTTTCCTAATGTAAGACTTAAAATTTTTTATTCCTTAAATAAGACTTAATAATGACTTAGTGGAAGAAATAATGTCTAGTTATGATGAACACTTATTTAAATAATGACTACTTGATAATGACCAAATATCCTACATTGGAAAATAATAACATATAATCTTATATTGAAAAAATCATTATGTTTTAATCTTATTTAGATAATTTTCTCTTATTTCAACTCACTTTATTTGAATGTTGTAATGAAAAACATTTGTCATAATCTCCATTTGAAAATTTGTTCATATTTTATGCAAAACAAAACAAAATTTTAATGTTTTTAAATCATTTATTTAAAGATTAGTATAGAACTTAAAAACAAATTATCAATCAAAACACACAATTAAACAAAAAATTTGATAATTTTTGAATAGTAAAGAGTGTAATTCTTTTGAAAACGGGATAAAATGTTTTAGAGAGATTTTTTTCAAAAGTTTGACAAGGAAAATAAAACAAACAGAATATGAAATGCATCCTCAAAAATGCACACATGCAAATAGTTAATGGGGGTGAATAATGTATATAGTTAAGTGGGTGCATAAACTGCCAGTAATATGGAAACAGAGAGAAAAACTAAACCAAATCCAAAACTACACAAACCACTTCAGTGAAAAATACATTGGGAGGAATCCACAACCACATTACCAAATCCTCACATTACAACATACACCTCCAAGGAGCCACTTCCCTTCAAACCCCCCATCAACTTCCCTCAGCTTTCTCCAAAGCTATTCATAAAGAACAACAAAAAAAGAATTCAAATTAGTCATGCAAAGAAAACGAAAGAATGCAGAATAAAAAGCTTCTAATTTTCTACACGAAAGTACGAAACCAGATATTAATAATATAGATGTTATCATCTGCACCAACCTAATGTGCTAGCTAACATTTATGAGGAGTCTAGACTCTAGACGCAATCCGCCTATTGAGCTATTTGTATCTTGATCTTAGCACATTTCTACTTGGAATTGGGCTTGAAATTTATGTGATAGTGGTTAGACTAGTTAGTCTAGAACCCAGAGATATATTTGACCAATGGAAAACCTGCACGATTGCACTTTACATATGTGCATATTTCTACTTGTACAAGAACACAATAATGTAAATAATGATAAATGTGTTCAATTTCATTATTAGTGTTACTGTTATAAACGTTTAAGAAGATTAGTTCATGTTTTGTTCTGGAGAGGCCAAGTGGAAGCCTCAAAATATAAGGCCAAATAACAGCTTTTCTGTCACGATTATAAGTTTATAGTGCCAAACACAAACATGTGACATGATCACACACCATATTTGAAGATGAAGTTTCACATCATTCTAGAACCACCAAAACCTTAACTAAAACTAAGAGTAGCACCTAGACAACTTTCAAAATGTCTACATTAAAACCACTCAAATTCAGCAAATCCCAAGGCATTTGAAGCCATATATCAAGGAAAGTGTAGAATATTCGATGGAAAGAGGGAATTTTTTGGAACACCATGCTTTCTTGATGAAATTAATTCAAGTTGACAAATCTGAAAGAAACTTAATTAATCTAATCATAAGATTAAAATATCTAGACATCAACAGTTATGGATTGGATTAGTTTCTGCTGGAGAAGTGTTTGGGCCTATATAACCTTGCCAACCCATTGACACACACAAATGTATATAGACAAAACTGTGGTTTCACTAAGCATTGACATTACTCAATTATTCTTCCTCAAAGTACTACTAATATTTAGTTTTTGTTTTGAGATGGCTCATGTGGAAAATAATGGACTGTATCTCATAAAATTTTAAGGTCTAGGCTTGTACGCTACGTAATATATGAGTATAGCATTGGTCCACATTCAATACATATTTAATCATTTTTCACCTAAAATTCTTGTGACATTTGTGTGTGTGTGGGCCTTGTGTAAGAAAGGGTAAGAATGGTGCATTACTGTTGTAATTAAGAAGTTTCTCAATAAGATCAACATGGGTCATCAACATTCTTCGGCAGCAATACCGAACCAAACCCAATGCATCAAGAGCATCCCTGTAGATAAGAAAAGATTATATGTTTAACGGCATCAAATCCCAATCATGGAAAATTTATAATTGTTCAAATGTTTGGTTTTTAACTGCGATTGGTGAGATGAAAAGAAGAGATAAAAAAAAGGATAATGAACATGAGCCGCTGGAGACTGGAATTGAAATTTGATTTACTCAGTATTTTTTCTATTGAGACCCATGACCCAACACAGCAGTATTATTATAAACAACGAGCAAATAATCAATCATTCCAGTGAGAAGAAAGAGAACTCTTATGCAAGCACCTCAAAAACTTGTGAACTCCAAACAGTTAAAAGCTAAAACACCTCAAAAAATAACAGCTCTCTTGAATGAAATCAATTTTTGGGTTTTCACCAATATTAAAGTACTTTTCAGGCAATATTAAAAAACGTGCACAAACCAATTACTGAAAGCAGACAAATAATTAACAAAATTCACAACAACAAATAACTAGCATTCTCCCAAATTCCTAATTCCTGAAGATAATCACGTGGTTCAAAGGATGAAAGTTTTCAAAGGCAAGAATTTTACCCTTCTGTGTAATCGGCTTGTAGAAGATCAAGGTAATTGTCCCATTTGTTTCCAATGACCTGAAAACAAAAAAAAAAATCTGAATAAATTCAGCGCTATACAGGCGAGGAATTACTGTCTGCTCCGAATTCAACCAAAAAAAAAAAAATACTCCGTAAATTGCTGAAAAATTAATGTGAAACAGAAACGAAGAAGAAAAGATGAAATCGGTTTTTGAACCGGATTACCTTCCCGCATGTGAAGCAACGGACCGGAATGATCATTCTCGGCTCTCAACTCTGTCTGCCCTAACGGATTTGCTGGGAAGAAGTACGAAACAGGAAGAAGGGTTTCTGCAGATTTCCCAAGTTATATAGTAGCGTTCGACGCGGGCTATGATTTAATGAGTAATTTGGGCCTGGATCCATTGCCTTCACCCTTGCCAACGAGGGCCCGTTGGTTTCGGTGTTTCGTTTTAGAGCATCACTAATAGAAAAGAAGGGAATAGCCTATGTGCTAGCAAGGGCCCGTTGGTTTCGGTGTTACGTTTTAGAAGTTTGAAAAGATAAGGTTAAATAGAGGACTCGTTCTTTTCACAA